TACTTGACTTGTGCGGTGTACTCAGTAATGGCAGCTGTTGTCTTCATGCACTTCCTCTTTTAGGAAAGGCTGCCCTCTTAACTCAGCCCACACCAAGGCATCTGAAGGGAACACTGCAATAAGATGACTTTCCAGTTCTCACTTTCATTTCTGTACAGCCCGTTGTTAGCCACTAAGTGAGGCAGGTACCTCTGGGGATAAATTCACGCATTAACACAATTTCAGAGTTGTCCTTTCTTTTTGTTTCAGCCAAGACTTTCTGCAGAAATCTGTGGAGGACCAGGCAAGGTCAATGAGCCACTGTGATTCATTTTTTTTAAGCACCTAGAGCAAATCCGATTCATTGCAACATCCAACAGAGCAGGCCAAGAAATGTTTCTGCCTCTTTATGATCCTGAACTGAGCATACTCAGAAGAGCTCCTATCCACAATCTATACCTTTTTGAATATGTTCTTTATAACTTTGAGCTGAGCATGCCCAGAAATGTGTCTATCATCCTTCTTGAACTATGACCTTAAACTGAACATTGCTCAGGAAGGTGCCCACCCTTTGCATGCTTTTTATGAATATGTATAGTTTCCCCCAATAAAATCCCCATGCTTCCTTCCCTCTGGGAGAGCAATGCTTTGGAAATTAACCACAGTCCCCCTCAATAAACTCTTCTCCACTCTATCGTCTCCAGATTGTGCTTTTGGCTTTGTTCTCAATAAGATACAAACTCACCGTGGTTACACCATGAGATTTCCGGACCTCCTCATTATAAACAAAGAAGTGGTTGCAGCTTTACAAAGTCAGTTGATATGCTAGTCTTGCTACAGAGAAAAATTTCAGTTCTTCTCCTTTTCTCACTTCACTTGGCTGCTGCTCTAAAAATCCTGCTCTTCTAGAACCTTCTTTAAAAAAAAAACAAAAAACGCTGTCTCTACATCTAGCCCCCAAACCTTCAGTTTAATTGTTCTGGGACTAGGCAATGAGTTCCCAGGTTTAATGGCATAACTCCACTCCTACATAATCCATTCCCTGCTAGGTCTTGTGATTACCCACTCCCAGCTGAGTCATTCAATCGCAGTCACATTTAATTGCCTCCACCTGAGTGGCTTTTTGTTAGCTTGCCTTTGTTAAGCATTGAGAGGCAACAATTATTTATGCACAGAGCATTTCTTAGTATCCAAGGTACAAATCAGCTCTTCCTGTTGATGTAAAGTGACAGCTTTCCTTGTGATCATGAGAGCAAAGTCTAAATTAGCTATAGGACTCAGAAACAGGTGTTATTTTAATTTAATTTTTATTTAACTCAGGATGAATTTTAAAAAATCATTCTACTGTCAACCCTTGGATTCATGCTTTAGTAAGCACCATGCATTAGTTCAGTAAGTATTTTGCATTGACAATAAAGCCATCTGTAGTGGGTTCATAGCTATGCCTACAACTTTTCACTGACTAGGTCTCCAGAAAGTGACAGAGAAGAGGCAGAAGGCCAGACCTTAGCACAGATGAGCTGGCTGTTGGACAAACCTCTCTTTTCCAGAATACCCAGTCAAACATTTCTCATCTGACCGTGAAGTTATATGTGGTCAAGTGACTGCAATGAAATTCAAACAGAAATAAAATACTTTCTAGGCCTGGCCTGTAGAGAACATTACTGAAGATCCATGCAGTGGGTTTGCATTTCCTGTGAGACAATACAAGCTGAGAAAGAGAAAGAGAGACAGAAAACAAAGACACAGACAGAGACTTGAGGGAAGAAGCTGGGTCTTGGGGCTGATCTAAGCTGCTCTGGGCAGCAAAGACAAAAGACATCACATAGGGCATCCAATGTTTATTCATAAAAAGCGTGGGAAGGAGAGGGGCTGGGCAGGCCTCTGGACACCTGGTGACAGTGAGTATTGCAGGCAGGACTGTGAAAGGGAGGCACTAGCGTATCTTTGCTGAAGGGAACAAATAATTCACAGGAAGAATTTAGTTGGAGTCAAGCTGACCTTGGCTGGAAGTGAACTCAGCAAGGCCCTAGTCCCCTAATGTAACAGCTGAATTCTGGAGGGGCGAGAAGCTCATGCCACTTACAGCCTGCTAATACTGGGCAGGGATATCTGCTACACTGGCCCATTGAAACTCTCCAAGCACCATCCTCCATACTCTTCTCCCATTGACCTGTGACCCTTGGAGTCCTATTGGTATAGGGGGAAATAATAAAACTCGCCACCTGCTAGAGTCAGATACACCAAGTTCCTGGTTCCCCAAAATCGAAGAATGAATTCTAAGAAAAAACAGAAGTTAAGAGTGGGGAAAAATTTATTGAAAGATCGCTCCTGAGAGACAGGAGGGAACCCAAAAGTGGGTTGCCAATGAGCCCACTTCTCAAAGGAAGTCTTACAGAGCAAAATCATTAGGTGCATACAAAAATCACAAGATAGGTACCATGTGGGTCAAAACTATGATCAACCGATAAGATTACAAGTATAGCCACTTAGGAAATATCAATCTAGTAGGCAAGCAGGTCTTACAGCAAGTGTACATGGAAAGAATAAGAAACTTCTTTAGGAAGGGATAGATCAGGAGGTCGTGGGCACCCACTTGGGTGACTTGTATCTATCTAGACTTTATTGGACCAAGTGATACCGATTATAGCATAATCTTCAATTTATGGCTTATCCCTTGAGGAGGCATATAGGCCTTATTTCATTTTTATCTTGAGGCCTGGCCTTTGACAGATGGGTCTCCATCCATAGTTGTAATGTGTTCCATTTTCTGCACTGACTCCTTTGAGGGCCTAGCCCTGTCTAATTGCCTAGAACATTTCTACTGTCTATAGTAATATATTGAAAGTGGCAGAGCAATAAGATGAAAGAACCCTGGCTATTACAGTCACCACTTGGAGGAAGGTCACTCACCTATCACGTTTAGCCCTTTTAGACCTTACATGAAAAGCAAATACATTTATATATTTTTAAGCCTGTGAAATTTGGAGTTTATATGTTCTAGTATAGTTTTACCTTGGCTGGTAAAGATGAATTCTGTACTTCTTAAAGTATTATTTCCCCCCAATAACACTGGTATATTTTCACTATTTAGAATTTGGAAAATATTCCACACTGAGCTTGTTAATATTACCTGAAAAATGCTTTAAGGAATAAATCTCTGCAACTCCCGCCTGGCAAGAGCAAGGTCCTAAGTTTGATTCCCAGTACAAAAAAAAGGAATAAATTTCTGATAATCATATCATAATATCTTTTGTTAATCATAATTGTTTTTCCTTGAACATGGAAGTTAAAGAGGAAGAAAACGATCCCTTCTGTTTTAAGCAATGACCAAGGTTATTCTAACAACTAAATTACCTTTATAAATTAAGCAATTTTGGGAATTGTGACTTTCTCTGGCCCCAAAGCTATAATATACTGTTTTAATAACATTATTTCTACTTTATTGATAGGATACAGCTTAAGCTGTACTAGAAATTTTCTCAAAATATGTTAATACATCTGGAACATTTAAAACTATTTCCCATCATATTTCTGGCACTTTGGTCAATTTATTTGTGATTAGGGCAATCTGAGTACCAACGATTACAAACCACTCTAAAGGAAGGGAAGGGGAATTAAAAAGAATGAAGATGTGTTATATAAATGTACCAACTCCCTAGGATGAATGTAATCACTATGTACTGCAAACGTGTACTAAGAAAAACTTTACAAATAAAAAAAAACTATGAATAAGAGTGTTTTTTATGGGATCATTGAGGATTCAGTATTAGCTAGTCACAGACACTAGCTGAAGTCATGCCATAGTATGTAACTGATCTGAAACTGACCCAAGTGGGGCGTGTAGCTCAGGGATAGAGCCCTTGCTTCCTGTGCAAAAGCCCACCAAAATCAAAACAAAACTACTTGAATTTCAAACCTTGATTAACTCAATTTTTTCAAAAATACCACTCATTCCCAACATTTGTGTGTGATAGCACAATTTCCTGAATGAACATTTGGAATGGCAAGGGCTATACGAAAGAGCAAATAACTTAAAATCCAAGTACTACATATTATGTATGTATCAATGAAAAGAATCTGACCTCCAGGAGAGTTTCAGCTCTCCTCCAGTTCTGATTTATGTCACATGCAAAGAATTTTAACTATTTCTTTGTTTTACTCTTTCCTTCCTAAACATATCCTCAAGGGTTTCATTCTCTATATGTAAAGCACTCTATGAATGATGAATGGAATCCTAAATAAAGTCACCCCAGCAGGGTCTCAGGGACAGCTGTTAAAATATCCCCCCCCCATACATTATATCCTTGGATTTATGATTTTTGGCAATTCTAAAATATTCACTGGGAAAAGTGGTAAATTTCGAGTATGGAATGTATTTTGGAATAGTGTTCCTTCGAATTAACATACACACCACACACCCTCACACATGGTACCTGTCAGTCTTGTCAAAATGTACACTCTGCATCCATTTATCTGGGGTGAGTTCTAAAACTCTGTTTCCAACAAGCTTCCAGTTGATGTCAGTGTTACTAGCGTTTGGACCGAAATTTGTTAGCTAGGTTTTAGAACATTCAAATACCCATTATAGAAAGGCTTTCTTTCCTGGAGCTGAGTATGGTAGCACACACCTGTAAGCCCAGCACTCCGAGGCTGAGGCAGAAGGATTGCTGTGAGTTCAAGGCCTACATAGGGAGACTTTATCCTAACAAAAATTCGTTTTTAACCTATGCCCTATGGTCTACCTACCTTAAGGGAGTCAGTGCAGAAGATAAGCCACACCAAGATTGTGACAGGAGGCAAATCTGAAGACAGCCAGACCTCAAGACGGAGACATAATGGCCAAGCCCGCAAGCTTAAGCTTGTCCTGTAATTAATACCACCTGCTCCAGTAAGCCCAAGTAAGCATCAGATGCACAGGTGGGTGACCAGAACATCTGAACCCATATTCCCCTTTCCAGGAATGCCTTTGTTCTTTGTATGTTAGAAGTTATAAATAAGCTGAACATAAGGATGCTCACCATATCCTTGTTATGTTCCTCACTTTTCTGTTGAATCAGTATTAGCTGAGCAGAGGTCCGGGGATTCAGCTCAGTGACAACACGCCTGCCTTGCAAGTCCTGAGTTCAATCTCTGATACAAAAAAAAAGAATAAAATATTAGCTGAGCAGCTATACTTTCGGTCCTATAGGTTGCTTGTGTTTGACTCACATTATACCCACGTCGTCGTTTTGCTGTATAAAATGCCACTGTCAAAGAGCCTCAGTAGCCACCCACTTGGGATACCTCCCAGAAAATCCAGGAGCTACTCTTCTTACTTCCAATAAAACTCTCCTAACTTCCACCTTTGGTTCGAGACTTCCTTGATTTTGTGAGACCATGAACTCTGCACATCTAATCTCTGTCTAACAGGGTGGGAGTTATTTTCTGGTCACAATCTTGGGTACTACACATGGCCCCTCCTCTGTCCTTCTCTGGCACTGTTCTCATGCTCTGCTTTCTGGCCACCACGAACTGAGCAGCCTTGCTCCTCTGTGTTTTTCCACTAAGAAGTTTCCACTTTGGAACCAGCCAATCACCCACTGAAACTGTGACACAAAAACATAAACCTTTCCTCCTCTAAGCTGCAGATGTCAGGTATGTTGTCTGAAACATGTATGTCAGATTTATTTCACCTAACATCATGGCCTCAAGGTGCATTCACAAGTTTATCTTTCTTTATAAAGAGCAAAATAAAAGATAATAGAAAGCAGGGAGACATTTTTCAAATTCAAAGGGGATACAAGAGATAGAGGGAGAGAGGGGGAAGAAAGGGAAAAGTGATACCAAAAAAGAAAGTTGAAGAAAAAACAGAAATAGAACTTCTGCAAATGTGGAGGGGAAGAAGAGCTGGAGGCAGCAGGGAGGGATGAGACGGGGCTAAGGGACAAAAAAAAAACAAAAAAAAAAAAAA